CTAAACTAACACGAGTTTCATTAAGTGTCCAGTTTAAGGGTATTACACAGAAACATACCAAGGGAACATGAATCAAATATGCACTTTTATTCATTTACAATAAACTCATAAAGTACATCATTCTGATTGAAGCTAAGGGCATACAAAACTGTCCAACACTTCCTTCCTTCCCTTTATAATATGACCTTTGCTCTGGCAACTTGGTGAATTTCTGGTAGCACTTGTGGGTAGCAGACTCACCCTTGAAAGATTGTTTTCCCTCTTTCTATACTTTGTCTGATTATAAGAACAAATAGGTTTCCAACTTCCTTTCTTCTCTTGCCGAAGGTTTCGAGTTTGATTGGGATCTAGGTTTCAGAAGGGGAACCATGGATTCAAATCTAAACAACCTTTTGTCACTTCTTCATATCATGCAAGGTGTCTGCTTGGACCCTGCAAAGGAGGATTCACGTATTTGGACCCCTTCTTCTTCCAATATTTTCTCCTGTGCTTCCTTCTTTAGGGCTTTAACAGTTACTGGTTTTGTTGGGCAATCCTTTCCTTTTAAAGAAGTTTGGGGTAAATCGATTCCACCTAGAGTTGGGGCTTTTTGTTGGGAATCCTCCTTGGGAAGTATTATCATTTGTGATCTCCTTCAAAGAAAGAAGCATTTTCGGTGCTTATCCCCTAACTGGTGTGTTCTTTGCAAAGCTGATGGTGAGTCTTGCTTTCACTTATTAATTTCCTGTCCTTTTGACTCTTTTGTTTGGGTATGGTTTCTCTCTTTGTTTGGTTGCAGATGGATTCCCCCACCAGAAGTTCAAAGCCTTTTTGGTCCTGCTATGGGTTGCTGTACAAAGAAAAGGGGGAAGACTTTATGGAGGTGTACAAGGGCTGCGGTTTGCTGGCCAGTTTGGGAAGAAAGAAATCAAAGAATTTTTGCTGATAAGGAAAGATCCAAAGAGGCAATAATTGAAGTAATTACGACAAGGGTAATACAGTGGGTGAAGTCTCTGAAGCTATTTGAAGACATATCCACTTCAGCATTGTTGAACAACTGGAAGGAAGTGGCCTGTTCAGGTCTTGACAAAATGGTCAGTATACCACAATGGACTCCTCCAGATCCCAGCTTTATAAAGCTGAACTTTGATGGAAATAGTGAAGGGAACCCTGGCCCTTCAGGCATTGGAGGGGTTTTTAGGAATGAGATGGGTGAAATTATTGCTATGTTTTCAGGCTCAGTTGGGGAAGGAGATTCACTTCGAGCTGAAGTTTTGGCTGTCTTGGAAGGTGCCATAAAGGCTAAGGAGATTAATGTAGAGAGGTTAATAATTGAGGGAGACTTGAAACTAGCAATAGATTGTCTACAAAAGGAGAGGAGCATGTGGAGCTACTTGAATAAAAAAGAACTTTCAAGAGGTTGACTCAGGATATGACAGTGAGAGTGCAGTGGGTAAAGAGGTGTGCCAATCAGTTGTTCCGGGCTATCTTGTAATCTTTCTTTCTCCTTGGGGGAGTTAAGAGAGTTTATCTCCCCTACTATTGTACTTTTCTTTCATCTTTCAGTAATGAAATGAATCTGTTATTGATAAAAAAAAAATGAAATATCAGAAAGTTTCTAATAATATTCTAAAATTTTAAACCTTAAATGTATAGTCTATCAATGAAATCTGAAATGTTGCTGATATATTGACAATAATTAGGAAATTTCTGAGAAATTTTACCAAATATCACCAATATTGCAAACCATGCATTGAACAGAACGGAATGGTGAAACAAGATTCATGCAACAAGTCAAACCACTTTCTTGGTGCAATAGTAAAATCTCAGGTTGACAAGTGTGAGAACGTTGCTTCAAGACTAAGAACAGCCACTTCATGTAGGAAAATGCTTAAGATTAGTTCTTTATCCAGCCCACTCCTCCCAAGACTGTGGATAGCCAGCATCAATATTTGGTAATATCCTTTTCATACAAAGCTGAACCACTTGTTTTGTTGGGTTCAAAGTATTCCCAGACTTGGTTTTGTCTCTTTTAGATCTTCCGGGCTCTGACCTCTGGCCTTGTATCCTTTGTCTTTCTCCTTATACTAATATAATCTTTACATGCAATCATAATTTAACACATAGAAATTATCAAAAATGATTCCACATTTATTTAAATGAAGATGCATTTGTTGGAAGAAAATGCCCTATGATTCCAAAAGAAATTTTTAATTCATGCATATCAGTAAAATCTGATTTTTGCACCTTTCACAGGTCCGGGAGCAATTAATTCCTATTTTCCTTGACTACAATATGAGGACGCAGGTAAATATCATGTTTGAATGACTTCATTCTTTTCCCACTTTAATAACAAACTGTGTTTCAAATGCAGGCGCTCTCTTCGTATGTTTTTATAGCAACTAATATTATCCTCCATACGAGTGAAATGCTTCTTCAGTTTAGACATTTGAATGACTTACTTCCTCCTATAATTCCTTTGTTAACCTCTCACCACCACAGTCTACGTGGGTTTACTCAGGTTAGCTCTTATTTTGTTTTAATTTGTTATGATCATTTTTGTCTTTATCATGTCATGCACATGCTCATGATTCTTTTTTATTTACTAGATGGCTTTCTTTTGCAGTTGCTAGTGTATCATGTCCTTTGCAAGTTGGTACCTGAGTTGGATTCTGATGTTTCTGAAGTCCCTTTGGAGAAAAAGTGCTTCCAGAGTTTAAAATCATATTTAATGAAAAATTCTGACTGCATGAGGTATCATTCAATTGTATCTGAGTTGACTTTGGGCATGTTTGGATCTCTTATTTGTCTCTTTTGAATAGAATGATTTAAAGTAAGGGAAGAGGCATTAAAAAATTAGATTAGTAAGGAAGAATTTTCTATTTGTGTCGGAATAAGTAGATAAAGTATTCCTTTCATTTTTTTTCTTTGACCGATAATGGATAATTTATTAGCTAAATATGATCTTCAATGCATATTAGAATAACTCTTAATGAGAAATCGAATAATAAAAGGGTTTTAGAATTTAGAAATCTCCAAGTGTGTCAGATATTGTTAGCTAAGACAAATTAAATAGTTAGAAAAGTAATATATCTATGTCTTGATTCAATCTTTCAACAAGTATATCTTCTACTGACATTTGGGGCTGAAACTTTAACATAAGGTAACTCAAGCTGTGAGGAATTTGTCCTGTACTTTGAGGCATGAACCTTGATAGAGCCTTCCTTGATCTAACATTTGTTTATTTCTCAACTAGACATTACTCCACTGCCCTTGACATTTGATTAATTGACCATTCTTTCAGGTTAAGAGCATCAATGGAGGGATTTCTAGATGTATTTAGTCCCAAGGCCTCTACTATACCTGCTGGAATTTTTACAGCTCGAGATGAGGTTAGAATTGTGTAGATTAGCATAATAATGTAATATCTACTCAACTATTTCCTCTTGTATTTATTGACTTTTAAGGTTTTATTGACTTTTAAGGTTTCTAAACCATTATCTGCATACTGTTGAAGGAATCGGAGTTTGAATGCGTCCCATTATCCCTCATGGAGCAAGTGATTGCATTTTTAAATGTAAGAATGTTTCTATACTTATGCCCTGTTTGTTCTGTGGTCCAAATCTTATCATTGTGAAACTGCAGGATGCCAGGGAAGACCTTAGATGTAATATGGCTAAGGATATTGTGACCATCAAGAATGAAAGTTTGACAATTGGAGGAAGTTGTAATGGCATGGAAATATTATTAAAGGGTTATGAAGAAGCATTACCTTCGCAAGTTCCTAAAGATTTGTCTTTGGATTTCCAAAAGAAAGTTACTCCTAAACATGAGAGTCAAGACAGTGATGAATATTGCCAACCACTTCTAGGTAAGTACCTTGGTTTTTGTCTTGGATAATAAGAAATATAGATTAGTGGGAAATAATAACTAATCAGAAGTAATATGTTTTCGGATTTCTATATATAGTTTGATGGTATGAATTAAGGCTCTTAATTTTGGGTAATATGCTTACCTTAGTCTGCTTGATATCAGTTCTGTTTTCTTGCTTCATTTTAGAGAGAAAAAATAGTAGAACAGACGAAGAAAGTGTCTCATGAAGGATAAACTCATTAAGGCATGACAATCCAGGAGCTTAGGTACATCTCTTGTCACCATGGTTTAGAAACTGGTGAGCTCCTATTTCTTACTGCCCAAGTAGTAGGAGAATCTGGGTTACCTTCTAAATGACCTCAATATAAGTTGATGTTTTCAAGAAACAGTTAAGGAAGCTTTGCAAAGCTATTTTATTCATAGGGGTAAATTAGTTGCTATTCCATTTCCATGGCAGTCATTTGGTCAACGTGGGAGCAACATAAACTTAGGATCTTCCACAAAAAGACATCTTAAGATGAAATTCTGTGCACTATTATCTAGTTTACCAGTTGATGCCTTTCAGTTCGAACAGATTTTAAGGTAGTTACTTGCTGTGATTACTTAACTGCCCAAATTTTTGTTAGTTGATCATTATCACTCTAATATGTCCATGGAGAGACTCAGTTTACAGTCACTCACCGAGTCACTGTATAGGTGACCTTTGCTTTTTGTAAGTTAATTGATGAGGCCGTTTAGTAATGGAATTTATACCTTTTATCAAAAAAGAAAAAGTTTACAACCAAGAGCCCAACAACCAATTTTATATGGAAAGAACTATTCTTGTAAATTTATTGTAACCTTTGTTCATTTATTCCCAAAGTTTCATATTATTTTAAAAGATATTAACAAATATCTCCATATATCAATAATTTACATTGTTTTAAAATTTTTATAATAAATCTATATGATTTTTTTTAAATTCCAAACATGTTTCTTATTTTCAAGTGATTGATATTTCCATCAGCCTAACATTTTAAATCTTAGGTACTTGGCCCTCAAGATCTCCTATTCACAACTGATGGAGGATTTGCACTTCCATATAAAACTAAATATATCATAGAATATAAAATAATACTTTACAATATGTAGAAAACTAAAGATTTTATTGCACTTAAATTCTACTGGATATTCCATTTCTGTAAGTTGTCTAAAGGCGTTGGTATATCTTGACCCTAATGAGTGCAGCAGAAATGGAGAAAGAAGATCAGCTGCTAAGTCAGGTACTGCAGTCAAGAACTATAACTATGGAAAGGATAAAATCAAGTCGACAACAGTTAATCCTTGTAGCATCACTACTTGATCGCATACCTAACCTTGCTGGATTAGCACGGACATGTGAGGTCTGTTACTGAAAGCCTACAAGAGCACTTGTGTTCATATTGATTGATGCTCTGAATGGTCTCTTTTCATCCTTTTCTTTATGCCATATAATATTATGTCCTTGCAGGTATTTAAAGCAGCAGGTTTGGCCATTGCTGACGCAAGTATTATATCTGATAAGCAGTTCCAACTCATCAGGTTAGTCGGTGTTATTTGTACTCTTGCACTCTGGTGATTTTCTTATTAAATTTTATTTGAATGTGATTCTTGCAATCAATTAATTATTTATTGATAAGAAATTTCCAAAAAAAATACAATATTATGGGATATGTCTATCAATGGTATTGTAGTTCCAGAATTGACAATTGTTATGGTGGACCTTTTCATTGGATACATTTTGATTTTGCCAGCAACATTTTAGTCTAAATGGTTAATTTATCTTATAATTGTTATTTAATTGATGGTTATTATTGTTTTCACTTGCCTGCCTCTTAAAGAAAATATTCAAATTACTGCCAAATTATCCTTCCCATCAGTTTATATCAAAGATGAAAGTTATAATATTGGATATTGTTCAAATTCTGATTCATCGAATCTATTGATGGCTGAGAATCAAAGTACGCCATCAAAAAAAGAAAAATGAATCAGAGTGCCATTATCAAAAAAAAGAGTCGAAGTACCAAATCTTAATAACAATGCACCGAATACCTGCTCCATTTTTAAGTGTGCTTATATAGCTCCCCTTCTAAATGAGTACATCATGAAAACTCACATTTAACTTTTTATCTTATTTTCATTTATAAGTATGTCCTGCTTTTACTGATAAAAAAACTCACAAGATGCTGTTTCGTTTGCTAGTGTGACAGCTGAGAAGTGGGTCCCCATCATAGAGGTCCCACCAAGCAGTGTGAAAGTATTCTTAGAGAGAAAGAAGCGAGAGGGTTTCTCAATCCTGGGCTTAGAGCAGACGGCAAATAGTATACCTCTTGACCAATACACCTTTCCAAAAAAGACGGTAAGCCACAATAAATAAATGTATATATATGTTTCTTTTGTTTATTTATTTGTTAGGCTTTACTCATTTCACTGTTAGTACAAAATGTGGAAGTGTCTATTCAAAGCATCACCTAGATGGTGCCTGTCCTATTGACTTCCCAAGTTCAGACCATACTATTATTGACTGCATTAGGTTCTATGACCAGTATCTTTTACACAGTCCATCCTGCCAAAACATATGACATAAAATCCATTATTAAGTATAGTAGTTATATATTTTACATATAGAATTGAGTTTTATAATATGGTATCAATGAAATAATTATTCTTACAGGGTATTCAACAGTCTGATCCCTTTTCTTTCCCAAGGAAGAGCAGGAGAGAGATTATTAGTGCAAATACAGATATAACATAAGTCATTTAGGATCCATGATTTAATAGCTCAATGATTTTGTTTACCAATTGTAAGAACAGGGGTCTCAAGGATGGCCATAGTGATCAGTAAACCCGGAAGTGACACTTGAAATTCAGTAAGCTACTTTGTGAATTTTAGAAATAGGCTGATGCTAATCTGACAATATGATTTGACACGATTACAAAAATTAAAATACGATAAGACAGGTGAGTTGTGAATGTGTGTAGCTGCAGGAAAGGAAAGCTGTTTACCACAGAGAAAGGACACGTGATATAACTCGAAAAAGAGGAATTGGCTTGGAATTTGGAGCACACAATCCCATAAGCATTAAGACTAAGGAAAAGAGTCAAAAGACAATAGTCAATGAAGTAACACCAACGAGGAAATCTCCAGAAAGTTCCCCCCACTTAAATAGCAGGGACAGGACAGAAGAAGAAAGTGACAGATAACCACTTTTGCTCTCTGTTTGCTTTCAAAACAGCATGAGCTTTTCAGAATCACAGGATAGATTATCGGGATTTTCCCTGCTCACCTTTCCAGCCTTCAAGCACAGACAGACCAGCTTAGCCTGTCCTCCCACACCAATTAACTAGGCTATGACTTATGACTTACCTTGACAGGCCAATATTCCAACACTCCTTTTAAGTAAGAAATGTACATGCAATGCAACTTGTGTCTAAGCATTCGAACAGGAAGACATCATAGATATTTATTTCCTTTTCCTCCTTTTGTAAATGGAGATCCTGTAAAGCACACAAGTTTTATTGATCTTTCACAGACAACTTACTCTCAAACTCGCCTCTGTTGCCTTTCATAAAATTTTCTTATACTTAACAATGGCTATATAGTATTCTACATTAAAGGAAATGTGATACTTGCAACACTCTTATAGTTTATATTCTCGTGGCATTTCTATGGAGTTGTTATTACAGTTTTTAGTATATAAATTGTATACCATGCATGAAGGCAATGTAATGTATACCATGAGGATTACCTACTGTATGTTTAGAATTTTCACTTGTATTTTGAGAGAATGCAACCCAACTTCGTAAGAGGATCCTTATACTTTCAAGTTTAGTCAAAATGAGTGGAAACGCTGTTTGGTTCTTTTGCAGGTTCTGGTTCTTGGTCGTGAAAAGGAGGGCATACCCGTAGATATAATCCATGTTCTAGATGCTTGTGTTGAGATTCCTCAGTTAGGAGTTGTTAGATCGCTCAATGTTCACGTCAGTGGTGCAATTGCTCTCTGGGAATATACCCGACAACAAAGATCACAAAAGTCCTGATGTTCTTGATATTGATTCTATTTCTCCCAATGCTAAATTGGGTTCCAAGTTTCACACAGATCTTGATTGAGAGTTTGAGACATCCTCCAAATTGTGGCTGCTCATTGATTTTGAATTAATGACTTTCTGGGTTTTCTTTCATTGGACAATTTTGGAAATTACATATTATAAATTCTTATTGGAAAGATGTATATTTTTGTCAAACTATTTAATTATATGTTTTCAACCTTCTTTTTTCTCAAAAATACATGATGTGACGGTACTTGTATTATACTTAACGCATGCTAGGGGCGTATGGCTGGCAGGTGTTCAAGACTCTGAAGGCGAGGAGATTGCATTACCGAATGAAAGCAGGATGGAGCAAGATCCCTGGATACAACGTTTAGCAACCAAATTCAGTGGGAGATTAAGGGGGTGTTCGACAGCATAGTTGGTTTTGTTTTTTTGAAAACAAAAACTACTGCCACATCAGCAACACCCCTAAGAAAATAGTAACATTTTTAACCGGCAATAGAACCGTTTAGAACCGTTTGAGCTGAATTCGTGTTAGTACCCACAACTAAAAACCATTTGGTAAGAACTAAGAACACAATTTATCAATGTAAAACTAAACTTTGCATTTTTCATGAACCAGTGTTCTTATTTGCACTCTTCCCAGAAAGAGTTGCAATTATTCAACTATCGGATCAAATAAACATAACACTAGAAAAACTTATAACCAATCAACCAGTATAATAAAAGCAGTAATCAATCAACCAGTATAATCAATCAGATGATATTTATCAAAATTGCATGGGGTTTTGATTGGCCAAAGTTCTCTACCTTTCCCACATCATAAATTTAATCCTCAAAACCAAGTTTAACATCCTGTATGTAGAATTTTGGTTAAAATACAAATAGGGACAGGTTATGACAAGAAAACCCTTAAGGTGGCTATTTTTTGGATTTTGAGAGGGGGGAAAGTTGCCAATACTTGAATGGGACAAAAATGCCCTTTTTAATAATAGATTTCTATGACTAAAATGGTCATTGCCTTATTTACTTGGGAAATAAAAGCACATGGGCAAAAGTACTTATTCGGGTAAGTGTTTTCTATGAAAAATTTACCCAAGTAAATTACATTTACCTAGGTAAGTAACTTACCGAAAAGCGAACGGAGACTAAATTGTAAACAATGCTTTCAATTTTAAGTTTTGAAATTACTATTATGTAATAGATTCTGAAACTACCAAGTGTTACATCTAGGATTTGATTATCCAGTTGTCGTCTCTTCTCAAACATGATTTAAATCAAAACTCTAAAAATCAAATTTTCTTAGAAAAACTGGCCTTTTGCCATAGAAATTAATCTCCGATCTTAGCTGTTTGGCTGTGGGCTACCTTTTTCCATCAAGATTGATATTGACTTCTTTGTAGCTTGTATGGACTCTCCATTAGTCCTTGGAATACTTTTTGTCCCCAAACAAGATGAGGACAATTTTGATCTCAATAAAATTTAAATTTGCAATGGCACAGTGTTTTCTGATTTTATGAAAATTTCTGGTGTGGTGTGATGGCATTTTGTCTATCTTAGGGTATCTGATGAAGGATGTCTGTCCTAATCAAACATAAAATGATAGGGGCAGTCCGAGTCTATTTCCTGAAAGTATGTGCAGTTTCAACTAGTTTCAAAAACTATAGGAGCTGGACGAGTTGCAATTTAGACCATGGTTTTTAATACCGAACCGGTCAGGGGTCCAGTTACTGGTTCGGTCGGGTCGTTCTGACAAAAAAAATAAAACAAATTAAAAAAATAAAAAAAATGAAAAACGGTTTTGGGGAAAAACGGAACCGGCCAGGTGACCGGTTCCCAGTTTTCCGGTTTGACCGTCCGATCCAATCCGGTTTTGAAAACCATTTAAGGCCATCTGATGGTTATCTTTTCTTTAAGCTCAATTTGGAAGGAGTACAAATTTCTAGAGTGCAAAACTTTGTAAATTGTATTATTTTGTATGTATTTGCACTGTACATATTTGTATTTATACTCCTTCCAAACTGAGCCTTAGGGTTGATAAATGCAGTATGTGATTTGCAGCCAGCCATTAAAAATTCAAAGGCCTGAATAAGATGGTGGAGGCTTCCTATTCCAGTAAACACTCATCCAGAATGCAAATGCAGGAGACAATGGATCCTAAATTGCTATGGTGTACACACTGTGCGCTGGATACTATCATTGCCCATATAGGCCATGACACACGTGCCAGTTATTCATGGAAAGGAAGAGGATACAACCCACAAGGTCCAAACTCCAGAAGTGGTTCGGAAATGAGAAAGGCATGGATGCGATTGATGCATGAAATGCCTTGCATCCTTTAGTTTATCACCTAATCAAGTACCAATTTACAAAGACAGAAGGACTTCAACGCTTATGTAATGGAGATATCTCCTCTTCCCTTTACCTAAATTTCACTTTCTCTAGCAAATTCTGGAGGAAACCAATCCATTTCAAAGCACAGGTTCTTCCAGTTCTTTGACATCACTAGTCAATGGCCCCCCCCATCTCCATCCTAATCCTTTTCATTTCTATCGTCAATACATCAGATTCCCTTTTAGGGGAAGCCAAAGTCTTTCTGGTTCTGATGAATGAAGAGCCTGTTCTTTCCTACAAAACTAGCAGCCAGAACCATCATCTGAGGTTTGCGTCTCATTCTTTGCAACATTGAGCACTAATTAAATTTTCTGGTTTTTCTCCTCTTGAAGAATAAACAAACTATCTTGATATGTTGTTTTGAATTCCAACCAATGTAGACAAATTTACAACGACCTGCTTTTAAGATGCAATTTGGGTCTTATAGAAGTAATTGTCCTATCACTGTATACATGATCTTCTAGTTGGAATCCTTTTCTTTTTAAGTCCATTTTCCTTTCTTTTCTTAGCTTGGATAAAAGTAATGGAGCCAGTCTAATGTATAGGAGTGATGAAGATGCTAGGGTGTACAAGGAGAATGTAGTTATACAGCATGATAGTTTCTTGGGGTCTCTACTCCAAACAGGCTCCTACACCAAGCTCTACAGCTATACCCATTTGATCAACGGGTTCGCCATTCATGTCAAATCTGAAGAGGTATGATTTTCATTGCATTAGAATTAGGCAATTAGCAGCTCTGAGGTTATCTAGCTAAGAACATTAGGCTGGATTTCAGGCCCTCGATGCTCTTCAAGGTGCAAGAGAAGTTAAACGTATAGAGGAGGACATCAAAATGGAGAAGCTGACAACCCACACGCCTGAGTTTCTGGGGATCCCCACTGGTGTTTGGCCAAAGCTAGGTGGAGCCCAGAATTCCGGTGACGGAGTGGTGATAGGAATGATCGACACTGGGATCAATCCAAACCACCCTAGCTTCGCCAGGGTCTCATCTGAAGGCACTAAGACAAGTGCAAATAGGACAAGATTCAAGGGAGAATGTGCGACCGGGAAAGGGTTTCCCCAAACAGCATGCAATGGGAAGATAGTTGGAGCCCAACACTTCGCACGGGGAGCAATTGCAGCTGGGGATTTTAATGCCACCCGTGACTATACTTCCCCTTATGATGCCGATGGCCATGGCAGGCAAGTAATTCCTCATGGTTTTCCAACCATCATTGACCTGGACGGTTGGACCGTTTGGCTCTAAAACCATCTAGACAACTGGTTCTATTTCACCCTTAACCTGTATATTGGCTAAAAACTGTTGACTTGATCAATGATCACTGGTCTAAACAGTAGAATCATCGACTTGTTCAACTTGAACAACATTTTTGGCCGTTTTTTATTTTTATGATTTTATTTTATTTTATTTTTAATTGAAATGGGACATCCATTCGAACCAGAGTATCTGCTGACCCAAAAACCAGTGGCCAAATATCAGATCACCCGTTAGAAATAAAAGAAAGAGAAAGGAAAACTGTTAATTAATTTTTCTTCATTATATTGTTTTCTAAACTTGTTTATATTCATTGTTTACAAATAACAATTGATAGCCACACGGCCTCAACTGCTGCTGGAAACCACCAAATTCCGGTGATGGTTAAAGGGTTCAACTATGGATACGCGAGCGGCATGGCTCCTGGAGCTAGGTAAACGAATCACCTTCTCAGGACAATTTTGAAGTTGTTATCTTTGGTTCTTTGTATTCTATGCTTGGGATATCTATTGGAACCCAAAATGCATTGGTTGCTGTGCAAGTGCAACTAGTTAAACTAAACCTAAATCGAAAGTTGATTAAAATCGTTTAATACTTACAGTGCCCCATTATGCAGTGATGGGTAAAGTGAGATCTGCTTTAACTTCTTGTTTTGATAGGATTGCGGTTTACAAAGCCCTCTATATGTTTGGAGGCTATATGTCTGACGTTGTGGCAGCAGTTGATCAGGTATGAGGAATATATATAATTTGAGATTCTTATGCAAAAATCTCTAACTTTCCTTCTGAGATGCTGAATCCGGTATTCTGCTATCAAAACTAACTAGAAAAAACACTCATTACTTGAAGCAAGCACCTTACCTAAAATCCTTATACTTAATTACAGCAAATGTTTGCTTGGTTTAGGCAGTTGAAGATGGAGTTGATATACTGAGCCTCTCTATAGGACCATCTTCTGTACCACCTGGTCCATCTGCTTTCCTCAACATGCTAGAAATTGAGTTGTTGTTTGCTACAAAAGCTGGGGTTTTGGTAGTTCAAGCAGCTGGCAATGGAGGTCCTTCTGCCAGCTCCATTCTCTCTTTTAGCCCATGGATCACAAGCGTCGCTGCCTCGACCACCGACCGCAAATATAATAACACCATCCAGTTAGGCAATGGGCAAAGCTTCTCCGGCACCGGCCTTGCACGTACAACTACTTAATCCCCATTTTCTCGTTTAATTTGTCTTGGTACTGCTTATACTTCATTAGTCCCGGCCCTTTTATTGTAATTGTATGCGCAGCTGCAACCGCCGGAGAAGTGCACTTTCCGATAGCCGCAGCAGCAGATGTCTGCAGCAGGAACACAAGCTATGTACTGGTTCAAAACTGTCAACACACAGAGCCCTTCATCCCATCTCTGGTTCGAGGAAGGTTGATCATCTGTACATATACATATGACTTTGAGTTCGAGGCAGCAAGCATTTCCTCTGTTGCAGAAACCATGGAGAAAGTTGGGGCTGCTGGATTCATAATGACAATGGACCCAGATCTCGGTTCAGAGCAAGTGAAGGGTACCACGATAACCCTACGAGTCCCCGGCATTGTACTGAACAACATGCAAGCCTCAACAGTACGTCTGTCTCATCGTCATCATTTTGCTCCCACCATGGATTCATCCTGTCAAGCTAATCTGTTTGTGTGCATGCATGAATTTTGTAGGCTCTGTGGGAGTATTACAACTCCCACGCTATCCGGAACAGGAACGGAGACGTAGTGGCTTTCACAGCGACGGGACGGATCCTCGACGGACGACAAGCAGTCTTCACAGAGCAGGCACCCATTGTTGCATCCTACTCATCTAGAGGTCCCGATGTGAACAACGCACTCTTACAGACTGCCGACGTCCTCAAACCCAATATCATGGCTCCAGGCTCCTCCATCTGGGCTGCATGGAGTCCTAACAGTGAAGGAGACCACTACATCAAAGGTAACTTGGCTTCTTCCATCGTTTGAGCATTTCTCCAATTGTCTGTTTCTATCTCTTCAACCTTCTGTATTTTCTCTGAACGAATTGGGTCTCCAGGACAGAGCTTTGCACTTGTATCCGGCACAAGCATGGCCACTCCTCATGTAGCTGGTGTTGCAGCACTGATCAAGCATAAATACCCAAACTGGAGCCCAGCTGCCATAACCTCGGCAATGATGACAACTGCCAATGTAACAGACCATTCTGGTGCTGCAATTCTAGCCCAACAGTCTAACCAGCTTGCTGCTGCAACCCCATTCGACTATGGCTCTGGTGTCATCAACCCAGCTCAAGCACTCGACCCAGGCCTAGTGTTCAACGTCAGTTTCAAGCACTACATACAATTCCTTTGCGCTGTGCCAGGAGTGGACGATGAGTCTGTTAGACGAGCAGTGGGTGTGGGGTGCCCTACCAGGAGGAAGAGATGGTGCTCAGATTTGAACATGGCAAGTGTGACAGTTTCGAATCTGGTGGGGTCGAGGAAGGTCATCCGGCGGGTGACAAATGTGGGAGGGACGAAGGAGATGTACCAAGTGAGGGTACAGGAGCCAATGGGGGTGTCAGTGAAAGTGTCACCACAGGTTTTTGTGATAAGTGCAAATGCATCCAGGCAACTTACGGTTGTGCTTGGAGCAAAGGAGGCAACAAATTCATACACGTTTGGAGAAATGGTTCTGGAGGGAAGCAGGAATCATGTAGTTAGAGTTCCTATAGCTGTTTATGTGAGCAGTTCCTTAGGGTCCTGAACTATTCTCAGATTCATTGAGCTCTCTTCTTGACAAAAACAAATTTCTTTAAACTCTTGTTTCAATTCACTGACATAAATGTCTCTTTATCTTAAAATATAAAACTTATCCACTCTTTTCTCAAATAAATCAAGAAAAACCAAACAAATCTTAAATTTATATCCATCATAAAGAAACCTCTACCACTTCATTTGAATATTAAATCCAATCAGAAATGTGCAAGGATCTATTAGAGCAACCGATAAGACTTCAATCTACTCTAACGAAGGAGAGTATTTGCCAGAAAGTAAAAGTTCAGGGGGTTTTTGTCACAAAGAATGAACCCTACTTCTTCGACATTTAACCTCCATATTTTGACCTTGTTTTAATTTCCTCTTCTTTTTATATTCTTCAATTAACGACCTCTATCATTAAATCAAAATTTTGTGGTCACTCAAATAGCACTGTTTTCTGCAATTAATATAGTTCTTCAGGGAACTAAAGAATGAACCTATATGAAGTAGGAATCAGTAGTTCCCTATTGGGAAGACAGGTGGATTGTCACAAGGAAGACTACTGGGTTCTCACTGTTTGAAAGAATTCATTGATTCAACTCTAAAGCCATTTTACATGCAACCAAACTCCTTAGGAGGAATACCAAGATTCTAAAGAATTCAATTCGATTCATTAATTCAGAAAAAGAGCTTAATACTTGGGAGGAATACAAGATTCCGTATCAACTTTATACATATGATCATCTAAAGAAGATCTATGATTCCAGATAAACAAATAGGCTTCTTTCACCAAAAAATCCCTTTCTTAGATGCATGCCATATAACTTTATCCTTTCCATAAAATCTGAAGAAATGGGTATTTCTTTTCTTTTTTTTTTTTCTAATCTAATAAAGGTTGAAAGATCAATTGTTACATGTCCAAAAAAATTAATCATAAACGAGGACAAGACCCAAAAAGTCCAAAACACCACCTCTGTAGTCTGTATCATCAAATCATACAGCAAGAAACCCAAAGACCCCATAAAGCCTAGGTCAAGAAAGCCAAATTAACAGATTATGTCTTGAATACATGCAGATTGATTAGCGGATCAGGAGTTAGGACAGAGCAAGCATGAAGTTAGTTCTGGAACCATTCATTTCCCTTTTTCTATAGTTGACAGATTGAATCAACAATTATGGGGGTTCAGACAGTTGCAAGTCCATTCAAAGAACAGATCCCATAGCTTGGAATTTGTTCTCGTTCTGAGAGGTGTAGAGGCAATGTCATCATCACCCACTGAGATGCATATCATTACTGGATACATTAAGGTAGAGACAGCACAACATAAAACAAACAGTGTTTATCAGTGGCACATTGGAGGAGAAAAGAGATAATAAAGTTAGGCCACATTTTAATTTTTAAGACATAGTAACACGTACATATTGGAAAGGAAAGGCATAGTTTGTATACTGATGCAATTAGACAACCCTGTGGCACATTGCATTCTAAGCAAAACAAACACCTTGAAGCAGTACAAACTAGTTCAAAACTTTGGTCATGACTATAGTTATATACAAGCAACAACAAAAACTTAGGGGCTGTTCACTCATTCACATAACTACCAAATGATAAGAGAGAAAGAGAGAGGTGGGGACAATTATAAGCAATAAAATCATCCTGAGATCGATGACATCCAACACAATACAGCCTTCCTGACCCAACTGCTCACTTGGGTATTTGCTAGAGAATTATATGATTTAGGCATTAGGAGTTTGCTTGGTTAATTGGCAAAATCTAAGGCTCACAAGCATAAGAAAATGGGTTCATATCTGATGGTGTCAGTTCAGAAAAGGAATAAAAGTTCAGTAGATCTACCAATTGGTTCAAGATATCAGACTCTTGAACCAACTTTCCAAAAAGAAAAATAAAGATTTTTCAACTTGAGATGGCCATATAAATCAACCAAGTTAAAGAAATAGAAGAAGACAAATGATTGATGAATTCTTTCCACCTACAGATAAAAGGCTCTTTCCTCTCCACCCCAACGTTCAAAGTATAGACATGTATTGGGTTATATCGGCCGATATGTATCGTATCAGGAGCTTTCCGATACGATCCTATTATGGAAGGGCTAATTTCCATAATAAAAAGGCTATTGATACTGCCTGATACGCCGTAGTATCGATATTTTGAACCTTGCTCCACCCATAAAATACATATTATGGAAGGGCTAATTTCCTTCTTCTGGGAACATCAGACATATATGGACGAGTTTCCATGAACAGAACATTGATTTTGGGAGGACAACCAGCTCCCAAATGATTTAATGTTGAAACAGATATCAATGAGGATGAAAATTCAGAAATCTCTAATATTTCTGGTATGTAGATTTGGTTTTCGCAAACAATAGTGGGAGAAATATATGATTATGAAGGACAGAAAAAACAGGGAAAGAATACTTGCCTTCTCAATGGCTTTCGAGATTTCCTAACATTATTAGTTATCTGCAGGACTAGCGACTCTCATGGCTAAAAGGCACTACTTAGCCCTGGAACTCGGAGATTCAAAAGGGTTCAAATGGAAATTGCATTACGTTGACATCTCTATAAATAGAGATGCAAATCTCCATTTGGCAATGCAAAGAGGGCGCAGACTTTTCCGATCTGAACAGAAAATATTTTCGTTGCATTTATTTGGGCTCCTTTTCCGGCGAAAACAAATTCCTCGGCCTTATACGGCGAGAAAAGAAACTCTAATGAATTACGGGGGACGAGCAAACCCAGTACAAGAAAAGAAGTTATTTCTTTTAAGCCAAAAATGAAAACAAACCAAGCGTTATTACTACAATAACTCAGTCGAATGAAACTTGTTGAATGGTCTGTTTTGGCGTGGCGAGGAAGAGGATAGGACATACCTTGCTAGACCGACTCTTTTCGTCCTGGAATATCGATGAAGCTCATCCTTCTGGCATATATTTGTGATACTGTGCGAAGAGATGTTTCTCAGACTCAAAGCAGTTTTGATTTTCTCGAAACTGAAGCCGTGATTGAGGAGAGAGAGTGAGCACGGACGATTCCTATAACTTCACTTCGGAGTGGATAAGGTAAACAGGAGAGAGAGAGAGAGAGATTCATTCCTTGTAAGATAAAGTAATAAACCCCATGATTGATACTGAAATGAATCGGATTGCTCGAGTCCCAATCTCCTGCCAACAAAATATATTTCAGATCTCTACCAACATGATGATCCGACACCGCACATCTCATATATGGTGGATCTGAGTTAGAGATGGCAATTTTTTCCATTTCCCTTTTCACGGGGTATTTTCATTCCCTTAGGGGCCCCATCCCGTGGGATCTCCACTAATATATATATATATTAATATTTTAAAAAATATGGTTGAATATGTTTAAATCTTTTTTAATAGGATTGTAAATTTTAATTATTTTTTATTCTTTTTAAGTAAAATAAAAAACAAAAAAAATGATTAACATTATAAAAAATCATGGGGAATGAGAATCCCTGTGGGGACGGAGATGGGAATAACCTTGTCCTCGTTAACAAGGACGGGAACGGGGATAGGGAGAATCTCCTCGTCCCCGCCCTGCCCTATTGCCATTCCTACTCTTAGTGTTACGAGGATATGAGATGTGCGGTTTCAGATCATGTTGGTAGAATGTTAGAATATTGGAATGTGTTTTTAAGGATAAATTGCAAATTAGTACCTCGTATTTTTGGGATATTGACACTTAGGCCTGAGTCGGATCTACTCCTCACAAAGCGCTCTTTACATGTACCTCCATGTTTCAGTCGTATATTGGGAACATCTTCCGTACTTGTAAATTATTCTTCATGGGAGATGTTTCTAATACACGGTGATGTAACTGTGAGGTTGGTGAGGAATGCTCTTTGAGTTAATTGTACTTATTCACGTTCTTTTAATTACTAAATAAGTTATATAATGATTTGTTTTACCCATAAAAATCCAATGTTAGAATGGGTAAACTTGTCCCATTATGATTTATAAATTTTTATGAGTGGGAAAATTAATTATCCACCTCATAGACGAGGAAACTAACTTTGCCATGAAATCCAAAGCCTACCGAAAAAAGAACACTGAAAAGTTGATCAATGAATTTCCTATTGTATTGATCAACTTTCCCCCTCCTATTTTCCCAAAGAAAAGGCCTTAATCGAACCTTCATTTGTGACAAAGATCCCTCTCTCTGTGAATTTTCAGATTTCAATAGATTAAGGGAAGTCCATTTACTAAAATATTCATATATGTGATAGGACAATATTTCAAAATATTAAAAAAAAAAAAACAGGTAGGGTAAATACATTATCTCTTTCTCGTCCACTTTGCTTTTAAGCCCTAATCAAATAAATCCTTTAGGTTGTGTTTGGTTGCAGAGCAATTTTATTTGCACTAGTACAAATATATGGGAGTACAAATGAAAAAAAAAATGTAAATTCTCGTTTAATTTTGTTTTTGGTTTTACTTTATTTTGATTTGTGCAATAATTTACTTCATTTGTATTGCAATCAAACAAAAAAAAAAAGTTAAATTTTGAAATAAAAATAAATGAGAATTTACATTCAAATCATTTGCACTGACATAGTTTTGCATCAGTGCAAGTTTATTTGTATTACAACCAAATACAGCCTTAAAGCTCAGTTTGAAAGGAGTATTACTACAAATACAAATATGTAAGTGCAACCACATTCAAAATAATACAAAATACAAGGTTTTACACTCTACATATTTGTATTTGTATTTTATACTCCTTCCAAACTGAGCTTTAGTGCAAGAAAGAAAGAAACAAAAATGTTGGAGAAAGGACAAAAAGGTTTCATAAATTAAGGAAAATATAATTTAGAGATTTAAAAATGTATAAAAATGGCAATTTCTATAATGCTGGAACATTGCCATTTGTAGTTGTAGGTCCAGCCTAACCTGGGCCCAGGCCTGGCCCGACCCATCCCATGATTACCCCAATAGGATCACTGCTACTCTTAATATAGTGTTAAATTGATATCACATTATTCATGTAAAAAACAAATACCGTAGCCCCCACCCCAACTCTGCAACTTACTACAAATATATGCAAATGCATGTAAATTACAGTATGTCACACTTAGTAATTTGTGGTACTTTTTGTGATACTTAATTCTTTGTATAAAATGTGCAAGTGCCCATAATTAAATAATTAAAGTATTCCCAAATTATTTAACAATTTCCTAAAGTATCCCTAAAGTTTTAAGTGTACCATTGAACTTTTGGAAATTCACTTTTTATTATGTCTTGCCTTTAAATTGGATAAAAAGACTTTTATCTTTAATTGTTTCCAAATTTTCAAAATATATGCCCCAATCAAACAAAAATATCAAATCTAATGTACCCAATTCAAGATGAAGGAACCACAAAGCTAATCCTCATGAGAACCATAAAGCTCCCATTCAAGATGGCTTTGGTACATGGTTTTAAAATCGTTGTTGACTTGGACGGTTGGACTGTTTGGACCGAAAACTGGCCAATGTACTGGTTTGTTTTTAACATCGAACCGTTATTTTATCAAAAACCATTGAATTGATGAATGAACTGTTTAACCCGAACAATAGTTTGTGGTTTAATATAACTTATTTAAAATTTTCAAAAAAAATAAAATAACAAAAGAGAAAAAAAATAATGAAAAGGGAACGATATTAGATATGAGATCAGAAAAAGAGAGAGAGAGATCCAAGTTGAGAGATATGTAAAAGATAGAGATATTTGAGATCTGTAAGAGAGATCTCAGATTCAATCATTCAGAGATTTGAGATCTACAAGAAAGAGAGATGAAGAAATCTCAGATCTACTATCATTGTCGCCAACACCGTCGTCATAGCCACTATAGGTCACCACCATCATCACCGCTACAGGTCACTTTCTTCTTCTTCTTCTCCCAGCCTTCTTTCTTTACTAAGTTTTCTCAGCCGGCAGTCCTCTTCTCACTCTCATTCTCAACCCCCTTCTCATGACATTTATATCTACTTTATCTAATATTTCAATCCAATGGGTAAGATAAGATATACATAATTTTAAGTTTCTAATTATTAAAACGTTTAAATCACTTTCTCAAAAACCGGTAGCCAAAGTGGTTCCATTTTCGAATCAATTTTTAAAACCGTGATTTAATAGGCATTTTTCATCAAGTAAGTTCTTTAGTGCCTGAATGGTTCTCTCAAATCGACCCTCAGGATGCAAACATGATTTTTGATAGATTCCATAATCCATCCAAGAGAACATTATAAATTAAATTGAACCCACGATCCACCATTTCCCTAAAAAAAATTCAGCCATTTGGAGCTTGTTCAGCTTACACAAACCGTACATCAGACCCGTATAAGTTTCAGCATTGAGTTAAAACTTAAATTCCCTTTTGTTAAAGATCTCTGTGCTGACCTTGGTATTTACAAAGTGCATCAAGAAGGTAACCCGTTTTTAAGTGGGTCTCAAATTTTGCTAACCCGTTTCAATGATTAACTGCCAAGCATCATCTAATTGACTGTTTTTCCTAATAACTAGCGGGGATCCGTGTGATGCACATGATTTATTAAGGAAAGCTAAATAATAGAAAAGTGTCATTTACTAAAACACCCCTTATAGTTTTATGGATTTATTAAAAGCTATCCTATAGTTAGTGTTTTACTAAAATACCACTTATAATTTGCAATGGGTTTAATCAATCTTCCATTAGATGATAGTGGAAAGTGACAATGTTAACCCTAATGTTCATTTAAATACATTTAATCAAAAGAAAATAAAAATAAAAGCATTTTTTCCCTTAATAAGACACGAACAACCAATCTATTGGCTATATTTGGTCGATTTTGTTTTCTATACAAACAAAGTATTAAGGGTATTTTGAAATAAAAAATCATGGGCCTAATGGCAAAACAAACACTCCTTAATGAAAGGTTGATTAAGTAAATAAGTTGTAAAATATATGGGATGTTTTAGTAAAATGAAAACTATAAGATTGGTTTAAGTAAATATGTAAAACTATAAGGTGTGTAGGAATGGCAACGAGGCGGGTTCGGGGCAGGGATCATATTCCCCATCCCCGACCCCGATTCTAAATTAACCCCCATCCCCGATCCCCGACGGGGATGGATTCCCCGTGGGGACCCGAATCCCCAAAGTGTTTTCAAATAATATTTTTATAAATAATTTGATTTAAAATAAATAAAAATTTTAAATTATAAGTAATGTTTTAAATATGTTTTGATATATATATATATATAATAGTATATTTAATATAAATAACATTTAATATGTGTATATATATATATATATATATATAATTAGGGTCAGGGCAAGGTGGGGATCTCAATCCCATCCCCAACCCCGACCGGGGATTCCTATTAATCCCTGTCCCCATCCCTGCCCCGCCAAGACAATCCCCATCCTCGGCCCCATCGGGTCGGGGAAGTTAGGTCCCCGTCGAGGATGGGAAAAATTGCCATCCCTAAAAGTGTGTTCTAGTAAATGCCCCTAATAGAAACACATAAGAGTATACAATCGTTTTATATGTTCAACTTTTTCAATAATTAATAATTATTCATATTTTTTAAACTACTTTTAAAAAAATTATAATACAAAAATAACAATAATTAATTTTAGTTAAGTTTATTCATCAAACTGATGAAACCGACCAACCCAATTAACTCGACCGGAGTTGGTCGGTTTTCTAGTATTTAGGTTGGCTTTGGTTCAAAAATTTACCAATTCAACCAAATTGGATCAGTTTCCATTTGGCCATTTGTAAATCAACCAAAATCGAATGACCTAACCATGGATATATAATTTTTAATATGGAAAAGTGGAAAATTTCTCATATTTCTTAGTCTAAAATGTTTTATATCATAAATCTAATTTTTAAATTTATTTTTTTAATAATTGCATTGTAATTTTTAAAATTAAATTAAATTTTTAAGTTTAAATCTTTTGAACCGACTGACCAAACCAAAAAATCGACCCAAACTGATACAACTTAAGTTGGTCAGTTTTCACAAAAGGTTAGTTAGTTTCAGCTGACCAACTCCCTAACCTGACCAAGTCAATTTTGTTGGACAAATAGCCTATGACCGAACCAAACCAACTCATGAACTCATAAATAACAATAATT